CCCACCAAAGAGCGGTTGTCGGTGATATGCTCGGCCGAAGCTGGCTTGTCCTCAGCGTCCTTGGACTGGTAGAAGGCGATCCTTACGGCATTCCGTAGGGTTTCTCGACGATGTTGGGCTTCATCAGGAGAACGTAGAAGTTGTCCACCCCCTTCTTCGACCTCGAAACGCAAGTCCTCGTCATCCCTGGGATTCTTGCCGAAGACTATCTGGCATGGAGCCCATCCGCAACGACGACGTAGCTTGTTTTTAGCCGAAGTAGTTGCGCCAATGGCCTCCTCCACTTCTTCTCCTCGTACAGTTTGTTCTTGTGCCACACGGCCAAATATCTCTTTCCACCACTTTCCATGTCGCTCTGTGAAACCGGACTGCCAGTGCGCCTGCCCGGCGCTTGTTCGTAGCTCGACATGGTACCAGTCTGCCAGGCGGCTGAAAGCGTCCTGGATCCCACGTTCCAGGTCCAGAGCGATCATTTTGGGAGCGCCAAAGATTTGCACCCAGTTTTTGATGAAGGCCTTCTCGAGCACTGTACCAGTTTGTTTGGGAACCTGGACCACAACCTGATAGGAGGAAGCATGGTCGACCATAGAGAACAGCTTGATCCTTTTCCCATCGATGTCATAGGCATACATCATGTCGACTCCAACAACATCCCCAAATTCAAGCAGTCTTGGCTCTGCAGAAGGACGAGCGCTCTTGGGCCCCTTGGTACGCGAGCAAGTGACACACTCCAGGCTCTTAGCGGCCTTGATCACATCGCGGTCTGCTCCAGCGTGATGAAGATGCCGCACCAGGTCCTCCCGAGCAGGATGGCCCAGATTTTGATGTAAACGACGAAGTGCTGCTGCCATGTCTGAGGGGACCTTTTTGTCGAAGCTAATCCCTGCTGCTCCTTCACGCCGTTTGTCCACCTCAGACCGTTCCGCCGCCTCCCCAGCGTCCTCCGCAACGCATGCCTCGTGGTAGGCAGGCGGTGTAACTCTGTAGGCTTTGACCCCGTCAATCTCCACAGTAGCCACGGTGCCGAAACTTTCGATTTGGAGCCGTACTCGTCTATCCTGGTGAGGTAGTCGTCTTGGTACCGTGACCATCAAGGATCCATGTTGATTGACCTGCCATCGACCACATAGGTCGAGTACTTCGAAAAACTTCTTCTCGTTGTCCATCTCGGAGTCCTCCGGGGGATGTATCCAAATCATGGAAGGTCGGAGCTGGTTGAACATGTCGATCATGTAGTTGCCCGGGGAAAAGGAAGGGATGTCACTCCACAGGACCGGTTCTGCTGCATAACACTGGAACAGCGAGGTTGCTTCCAGGGTTTGTTCCA